GCACTACGAAACGGTGTAATGGTTAGCAAGCTTGTGCTGCTAGAACGATTCCGACTGAGTCATGAGTTCGATCTTCACGGGGTGCCCCATATTTCCGGTCTTGTGCCACATCGAAGCTACGCTTGGGAAATCACTATATTCTCTAAAATTGCGTGGTGTAATGGTTTTCAAGCTTGTCTCGCTAAAAGAAACAGTTACGACTGAATTGTGAGTTCGATCCTCACTGGGTGCCCCATATTTTCGGCCTTGTGCCACATCTAAGGTACGCTTGTGAAAATCACTATAGATCTGAGGTTGTATGGAAATGGTGTCACTTGATTAGCAGTTCTTTTTGTAGTATGTAAACCGTTGTAGGTCTGATATTCTGTATCTTTGTTGTAGCATAAAGAAGTGTGCTTCAAGCTTAACGATAAGAAGAAAAATAAAAATGGCTTAATTAATAAATATACTCGCAGTTTGCTGGAAATATAGCGTATTTCTGAGATAGAATATATTTGACGGCTAAGTATCATTCAAGCCAAACGAAAAGAAGATTAATGTGGTGAGATATTTTCATTCGTCCGTGAATTGTCTAATCAACAAGTAACGAGAAAGCGATATTTCCTGAGCAAAACAATAGTTTCTGCCTTTAAAATTCTTCTTTGAGTTTTTGTCTTGATGACCTGAAAAGAAAAAAACGATGTAGGTAAGTTCTCTCATTCATTTTACCGTCTCTCTTATGTGACGTCTTTTGTCGCGGCGTCAGATGTTCGCTCCTCGCTGCTCCAACGTGACGTTCTAACCCTTTGGTTAGATTGATACCAGCCTCGTCGTTCTCAACCCGCTTCCAACGCCTGGTTACCAGGGTAACTGCACTGATCTCCGGTCTGCCTACCCACGTTGTGACTTGATCTTAGACAGACGAGATCAAACAGGGCTTGGGGCCGTAATGCAAGTTGAGCCCAACGGGGGTGATAACACACAATTATGTATAAAATTATGTATAAAAAAAAAAGAAATATAAAATAAAAACTCACAAGGTCCAACGTATCAAGAAAAAGGTAACAAACATTTATGTCTAATTGCTCGGTACATAGGACTATATCTACTTCCCGACCCGTTCTGTGGATTGTGGCACGACGCTTTCACTAGGCAACTTTAAGGCTTCCAGTTGTCTGCTCTGTAAGAAATTTGTGTTTCGGCGTGTCCTTGGACGAAAGTCGAAAAAAAAAACTTATTTCTGTGGTCTGATTCTAAGTCGCTCTTCAAACTACTTGTTCTTGGTTGAAGAAGAGTCCAGAAGTGTGCGTGAATCTTGGTTAGCTCTCTTGACGCGGTTTCAACACTGGGCGCTCATCTCTGCTTGTCGTTCACGGCTCAAACTCCAACTCAAACTCTCTCGCCGTCCGCTCTCAAACTTCTCTTCAGAGTGCTTTGATTCCAACTTCTCCACTTCGGCCAAACGAGCTGCTACACTTCGGCCAAACGAGCTGGCCTCTCCTGCCCGCTAGTGAAGGGGGGAACGAATCCGGCCCGCCGTCCGCGGCTGATCTGATTTCTGTCGTTTGTGGTCCCGCTTTCATTGATGCAGTCAAAAACTGGGGTGGGTTTTCTTGATAATTCTAAATACGTATCCACCCTTCTTATTTCTGGTTAGGGATTTTCCATTTTCGGTAATTCACTTTCACTCGTACTTCCTTACAGTGCCTCTGAGGGGCGTATACCAACTTCCCCGCTTCTTCGTATCGGCCCCTCACACTTCCACCTCTGACAAGGGCGTCGACCGATTCTCCTCGTGCGTCACGTGACCGCTCTCGGCCAATGAGGTCCTGGTCGGGTATCTTTCCTCCTCCTTCGTGCGCCACGTGATCTTATTTAGCCAATGACGTCCTGGTCGGGTATCTTTCTCCTCCTTCGTGTGTCATGTGATCCCATCTAGCCAATGACGTCTTTAGTCGGGCGTGGACAATCCGTGGCTTTGTTCTGGGGGAAGATACACCTTGCTTAAAAAAATAAAAATTTAAATTGCCCTTATCATAAGCGACTGCGATGACACCTTCGGCTTTTTAACATGTGGTATTTGTCAAGCAGTTTATCGCTAATTGGATATGACCTAAGAAAGGGATTTCTCAGACTGGGTGGCGTTTTCGTGAACGAATAAAAATATTTCACTTTTTCTTTCCCTCGAAGCTTGATAACAAAAATCTTCATTATCTCAAAAAAACATTTTCAGCCAACATCATCTTGTGTATTTTTTTTTCAATTCTGGAAATTGTCTGTGTTTTCGTATTAATGGTTTGTCTTCATATCCTTAGATACACTTCCCACCTGTTACCTATCATATTTTTTTCCATTGTCCCTAAACTTTGTTTCTTCAACCATTTGATAACAAACTCCATTTTTCGTGGACACGGAAGTAGGTCAGGTGCTTGACCTGGATATCTTTCGGCATCTGTTATGTGTCAGTCGAACGTGTGTGTGCTCGCTTATGACCTGTTTTCGTATTAGTTTTTTTTCTTTTTCTTCTGTCTTCTCTTTCTTTCTCTCAGTTCGCTTGAATGTAAAGAAAGAATTATTCCTAACCCGAAATATTTTTCAGCCCTAATTAATTATCAAATGGTTGACAAACCGTAAAAAACAAATCATATATTTATGAATATTTCTTTTCAGCTTGCTTAATATGCATGGTGCCACACTTACAAACAAGTAGTCAACTGCTATTGACAATAATATCTGGCCGATACAGACCCATCTGCATTGTACTGTTTATTAATAAAAGGAAAACTTTGGGGAAATTTTTTTTTTCAGTGAGAAATCAAGACGCTGCATCTTAAGCATGCTGGTCTGAAGACTGTTGAAGCAAACCCTTTTAAAGCAAGGACTGTAGTTTGCCGAACACCAGTCGTGAAAATGCGAAACTTCTTTTAAAAGCAGGTGTTGTTGCATCCTTGTACATGGTTGATTAACTTTTCTCTAACCTTTTCGATGAGATCTCCGAAGAATAAAGGCCTTTTTCCTGATTTGAAAACACAGTTCTAGTTGATAATCTCCAGGACAGGATAAGGGAAGTTTCACTAGAGTATTTTCGGTGGTGTTTCCTTTGGATTATGTTGCTGTGTCGATGCGTATGTGCTTATTTTCTATAATGTTCTTGATAATCCTACCAGTCGGTAAAGATATGCGTGACCCAGGGAAGGGTGATAGTGTTTGAAACATATCTGTGACCTTTCTCGTCGTCAGCGCAGATATCGTATAAGAAATTTAAGCTGCTTCGTCGTGTATCGGCTGCCTTTCAAAGAGAAAGCAGACGCTGCGTTGGACTTTTGCTTAATTTTTGAATTTCGAAAATATTTTTGGTGCATTTCGATTTGTGGGAAAATCGATGTGTTTGCTTTTTTTATTATTTTTTTTAGTCTAAAACAAATTAAAGGGTTTCCTTCAATTTTCGAGAAATGTATTTGAAGGCTTCATGCAGGTTATTTAGCGATGTGGAGCTTAGATTTAATTTTCGGAGTCGAAAAATAGATGCTGCAGGACTTAGTTCGCCCCGATCCAGAAAGTAAAACAAAGGCATAATAAATTTGACAAACGACCAGACGAAAATTAAAATGGACGTCAAATTCGCTTCTACATCAACGAAATGTCTCCAGCTGGTGTTCTTGTATTATTTCTCACTGTTACCATGAAATTTCCTTCAAAAATTGTACCAATTCTTTTTCTTCATTTTATGTAGTTTTCTTTCCTGAGGACCTTAGGCAGTATCATAACTTTTATTCTAAAAAAGATTATTTATTTTCAATGATAATTTACATGTTATTGGTCATCATTTGTCTCACAATGCGCTGATTTGTGTAATTCATTCATTTTTACGTGTCAGCAATAAATGTATCGTCTGTTTTTAAACTCGGCTCGCGTCGTCTGCCTTTGTCGGGTGGCCATATAAATTAAATGTTACATCAAACATTTGTTTGACCTATTTTTTGCGTATTTTTTCTTTTTTTACTAAATAAAAAAAATGCTTTGATTGTGCTTCCTTGGGAGTGTTTTATTTATTATTTCGTCAGAAAACAGCATGCCAACAGAGTAACAAAATATAGGAAGCCCATTTTTACCCATCATGAGATACAATCTGATAAGATTAAACCGGGGACATGCATGAATAAATAAATTTAACTTACATTTGTTTCTCTATATATTTTCGGTAAAATTTTCTTCCTTACCGATTTAACTTACCTACTAAGGTTTAAACAATGACAACTAAATTCAAAAGTTTTTTTTTAAAAATATTCAGTTTATTTAATCAAGTTTGAATATAGTTCTCTTTAATACAAAAACGAATTCAAAAACAAATAAATAAAGTAAAAATTACTAAGTTGTTTTTTAAGGCAAGAATTTATTGCTGAAAATTACGGAAAAAATATGAAGAAAATCAAGATGCTAGATTGGAGGAGTAAGATAAATTGATGGAAGCATTCCATAGAATTATTGTAATGAATGCATTTACTAAAATATGTATTTGAATAATTCCTTCATTTTTTTTACGTTCATGCAAATGATAATGAGAAGATATATAAATGGTTTTAAAATGCTTCTTCGAAATGCGAGGCCCACAACTCAAGAAATCAGGTTAAGAATGATGATGGCTGACGTACGGTGTAGAAAACACGCGGGTAGATCGACTTAATAGATTTAACGGAGCGTTGGCAAAATGTTCCCCATGCTAATTTCTGTCTCTAATGAGTGGAAATTATTCTAGTAGAAAACAAAATTCAGAGGAAAAATGAAAGCAAAAGATAAAAAAAAATATTCCAAGTAAAGAAAAAAAAAGATAATTGTCCAGTCGTACCAAACATAAGCACAACGTCATTAAAATAAGTGACATCTTCTTATTGGTCATCACGTCTGCAATCATCGATTGCCGCCATTTGTTTCTGAATCAAGTTTATTGTATTTGTTTTATTGCATATATTTTAAAAGTATCTTCTGTTTCTTTAATATTTATCATTTATATTTTTCTCGTAATGATTGGCTTAATTTGTTCTTTTTCTATCATTCTTGCCTGGTCTTATTCAGTATTTCGTTTGCTCGTCTTTTCTGTTTATATATATATATATATATATATATATATATATATATATATATATATATATATGCGTCTCCGTTTTTTTTAAACATCTTTCATTCTATTTTTCAAATAATCTTTTCTGTTTATTTTTCATCTGTAATTTTTCTGGCGTTTCGTATCTACTGTATTACATTATCGCTTCCCACTTCATTCTTTTATATGTTTGATTATATAGTCGACGATGTCTCTCTCTCATTGCTATCATTTTGTTTTGTTTTTTGTTTTCTTTTCACATTTTTCCTTTCTTTTCCATCACGCTTTCTTGTCTCCCATATCTTTTTCTTCTTCTTTTTGTTACATTTTTTCTTTCTCTCACTCTTTGTTTGCACTTTTCACTGTTATCTAACTATTTCTTTCTCTTTTTCTATCTTTTATCTTTTTCAATTTTGAGCTTTTTTTCTTTTTCTTTTCTTTAACAGGTTTGCATACTTTTCTTCTTCTTATTTTTTCGTTCTTTCTTTCTTTCTTTCTTTTGTTGTTTCTTTTTTTTCTTTTTCTTTTCTTCTTCTCTCTTTCATTTCTTCTTCTTTAATCTTTATTGTGTTTATTTTTTCTTCTTTTCCCCCATTCTTCTTTCTTGTAAATTTTCGGTCTTTTTCTGTTATTTTCTTTCTTTCTTTCTTTCTTTCTTTCTTTCTTTCTTTCTTTCTTTCTTAACATCTGTCTTGTTTTTTCTCTTTCTTTTATTTTCTTTTTGTTCTTGGTGTTCTCGTTCTTTTCCTATCTTTCGTTATTTCTTCTTTTTCTCTTTTCTCCTTCTTTTTTTACATGTCTTCTTACTTTTCGTTTTTTACCCTTTCGCTTTCTTTTCCATCTCATTTTCTATCTTTCTTTTTTTTCTTCCATTTTTATTTACTTTTCTTTCTTTTGTCCTCTTCATTCTTTTATCCTTTATTTATTTTCTTGTTACTTCTCGTCCTTTTTCTGCTATTTGTTCTTCTTCTTTTTCTTTTTTTATTTCTTTCTTTCTTTCTCCTCTGTTCCTATTCTTTCTTTCTTTCTTTCTCCTCTGTTCCTATTCTTTCTTTCTTTCTTTCTTTCTTTCTTTCTTTCTTTCTTTCTTTCTTTCTCCTCTGTTCCTATTCTTTCTTTCTTTCTTTCTTTCTTTCTTTCTCCTCTGTTCCTATTCTTTCTTTCTTTCTTTCTTTCTTTCTTTCTTTCTTTCTTTCTCCTCTGTTCCTTTTCTTTCTTTCTTTCTTTCTTTCTTTTCTTTTCCTCTGTTCCTATTCTTTCTTTTCTTTCTTTCTTTCTTTTTCTTTCTTTCTTTTCTTCTATCTTTTTTTTTTTTTTTTTTCTTTCTTTCTTTCTCCTCTGTTCCTATTCTTTTCTTTCTTTCTTTCTTTCTTTCTTTTTCTTTCTTTCTCCTCTGTTCCTATTCTTTCTTTCTTTCTTTCTTTCTTTTTTCTTTTCTTTCCCTCTGTTCCTATTCCTTCTTTTCTTTCTTTCTTTCTTTCTTTTCTTTCTTTTCTTTCTTTTTTTTTTCATTCTTTCTTTCTTTCTCCTCTGTTCCTATTCTTTTTTTTCTTTTCTTTCTTTCTTTTTCTTTCTTTCTTTTCTTTCTTTTTTTCTCCTCTGTTCCTATTCTTTCTTTCTTTCTTTTCTTTCTTTCTTTCTTTCTTTCTCCTCTGTTCCTATTCCTTCTTTCTTTCTTTCTTTCTTTCTTTTTTTCATTCTTTCTTTCTTTCTCCTCTGTTCCTATTCTTTCTTTCTTTCTTTCTTTCTTTCTTTCTTTCTTTCTATGTATTCCTGGTTTTGCCTTTTCTTTCCTTGTTGTCTTTCTTTTAAACTTTCTCCTTCTATATTTCCTTTTCTTTCGATGTTGTCTATTCTCGCTCTTTCCGATTCTTTTTCCTTTCTTTCTTTTTTTATTCTACAACATTTCATTAATCTTTTTCCTTCTTTTTTCTTAATAATTCATTCTTTATCTATTCGCTCATTAGTCATTCGTCTTTCTATCTTTCTTTTTCCTCTCTTTTTTTTGTTTGCCATTCATTGATTCAACCAAATCATACCCTATTTTTCCTTACTTTTTTCCTTTTTTCTTGGTAAGAATTTTACTTTTTCTTTTCTTTGTACACTCATTTAGGTTTAAAATGCCAACAACGTAATTATATAATCAAGCAGTTATTTTCCCTTTACAACATATTTCAATTTTGCATAATTGGTAATTACAGCAATTTATTTGCCGTCCCGAATGAAAGGTAGCTTAGTGGTTCATTCAACCGACAACTACACGTAAGTCGATTAAAGAAGAGACGCCACGTCATATTCAAATCGTAAATGAATGTTTTCAAAAAGATATTTTACTGTGGATACGGACAAAAATACAGGGTGGCCCGAAAGTCTTGTCACCCCTACCAAAAATAATGAGACCAATAGAGCAAGTAACACAGTAATACAAAGCACATGTCCTGGATTCAGTTTATTCCCTTTCTTGGCTATTCTCGTATCGTTCCTGTGAAACTCTCTCTTTGACAATAACCCCACATAGCGTTGAAAAAAAAATTATATCATGTATGGGGTGACAAGACTTTTGGACCACCTTGTAAATTAAACTAACCTTGTGTCGCATGCTCCCTCCGTGGGGTGGCAAGTAGATATCGAGTATGATACGAGATAATTGTATTCTGACAGACGAAGTTGCTTCACTGTCAATGCACGCGTTCAGATTTACTGGTCCGAATGTCTTGTCACCCACTACCAAAAAGTAATGAGAAAAATAGATGAACAAGTAAAACATTAATACAAAACACATGTACTCGATTTAGTTTATTCACTTTCATTGAGGCTGTCGCACACCGAGAAGGTCTGTATGAACACAATCATTTTCTTGTCACCCATCTGAAATAGAATATTATGTAGGGGACGACAAGACTTTCGGACCACCCTGTAGATTCATAGATGAAAATACAAAACATCCTTATCGGTAACCAAATGAAAGGATGATAAAAAGTGAGGGATCAGTTTTGTATTGTTCTTTAGCATTAAACACATGCGCTTTTTTCTTAGCCATAGTACAGGGTGATCCGAAAGTCATATCACCCAAAAGGTAATGAAAAGAATAAAAGGGAAAAGTAATACAGTACTAGAAATCACATGTACTGGATTCAGTTTAATTACTTTCTTGAGTATTCTGGTATTGTCCATGTAAAACTCTTTCCAGGGCGTTGAAATAGAAAATTATATTATATAGGGATGACAAGACTTTTGGACCACCTTGTAAATTGAACTAACTTTGTGTTGCATCCTGCCTACGTGGGGCGGCAAGTATATATCGATTAGAATACGAGATAATTGTAGATTTGAAGGATGGACTCAGACGATAAAACCTTCTGACGCGACACAGAGAACCAACTTTCCTTGCAGTAGATGAAGCTATAGATTCAATGTAGTTGTTTCACTTCAGGTGACAGCATGAGATCAAGCAAGTGCTTATGTGGAGTTGGGTATCAGCCATCCCGATGGGAGGCAGGGAGGGTTCTATGTAATGGGTAACTGAGAACAGTTTCGTCTTAGAGACAAAAGATACAGGAAAATTTCTGTTAGGCACCTTCCCCACAAAAAAAGAAACAGTTTTCAAATCACATTAACTGTCAGTGAATTCTGGACAATTACAGATGAAGAGGAGGCAGTAGATATATGGTTCTACAGTAGGAAGAAACTAATGCTGTCGACGGAACTAGGTATCGTGGAAGTATTAAAGGGAATAGGAGTAGGAAAGACGCTTTTATTTAGATAAAGAGAGGGTGGGTAGTATAAGGATACATAATGCGTTTATCTCTGTTTGGTGGAGGTAATCTACCTGAGCCACATGACGGCAGCTTAGTGAGGTCGATCCATACAGTGACGAAAGCGGCAGCCAAATTCAGCTCGTTTACAGCAACTAAACTGTGATGTTGTTTTCTTTATCCCGTGCTCCACATAGATCGGGCGGATGCTAAATATACCTTCGCAGCAGATTACATGTCCATGGTGCCGTTTACCTTTGGGAATATATCTTTCCCAGATATAAAAAAAATAAAAAAATCCAGTGCGCAGAACTCAGTTTGAGAAAACCCAAAACTCGCTATTTACCGTTCGCAGAACACGTCCTCGCTTGGAATATGGATGAATCCAGCCCGTATCCATCTCGGGTTCTATAGATAGCGTTTTCCAGACTATAGCGAAAAAAACGGCGAATTACCTGGTCAAAATCAAGCGACAGCGTATCGCGTGTATCCTACGACGGAAACCATGACGAAAAAGGCCACATATTCTGCATGATATGCTGAAGACGGAATATTCAAATTTGAAACAAGGCAGTCACGGGAGTCGCCTTAAAAGTATTTATATATGCTAATATTGTGCGTCCTCTTCCAGTTGTCGACGACTGGAAACAAATGCTCGGTCGATAAAAGCAGTTGTGTGTTCTCGAATCTGGAATGAAAAGACAAATGTTCGTGTATTTTGGCTACTGCGATTGTCGGTGAGTGCGTTATTTTTCTGGCTGGTTACGTTACATAGGACGTGCGAATAGAAATTTCCATATTTCTTTCCACCCCTGATATTTAAGTCTGAACTGACAGTGATTTTTTCTCTTCTTTAGAAATAATCTGCAACAAATATTTCCTTTGCAATTCCAGAACTCTTACACAGACACAGGAGTATTGCTATATTATATGCGAGATCATTTTGTTTCTCTTTACTTGCAAAATGCTTTTCTACATAGATACATGTGATATATTATTCTCCGTTTGGGAAATGTGCATTTTTTTAAAGTGTTTCACCCCAAGCAAGGCGGGAAGCCACTAGAACGCAAGGGGTTACAGAAGATTTGGAGCAAGATCAGATAGGAGTGATAGAAAAAAGGATGAGGAGAAGGGTAGTGAATATATCAAGACAACTGGAGATGTCAATTGACATTACATTTGAATAGCTGGAGATTATAGCTCTCAGGGAAACTGGAATAGGGAAGAGAGTTCCACAGACGAGAGGTGCGAGACATGAAGCTATTGGAGTAGAAGAGACGGCTACATTTAGGAGTTTCGACAGTGAAAGGGTGAGAGCGGGATGCCAGCCTCGCAGGACGCTTGAATTCATGAAATCTGGGAAACAGCGAATGCAGCTCATCGGAGCAATTACCATGAAAGTATTTGTAGAAAAGACAGAGAGAGGCGACGGCGCGTCTGTGAGAGAGTGACTGTAGACGAGATGCCAGAACAGGGCCAATTATATTGCATATCCGCCTCTGGAGCCTATCAAGAACCCTGAGGCAAACAGAAGGGGCTCCAGACCATATATATGGCAGCAATACTACATGCAAGAATTATATATATATATATATATATATATATATATATATATATATATATATATATATATATATATATATATATAGTTGTATGTGTATGACTTAAACATATAAAAGTATATCTGAAAATAATGCATAATTGTTGTTCCTTTTCATTTCAGCCAATCCGATTCGTCCCTGAAATAAGGTTATATAATAGCATGGATTGATACCAATGATAATTCCAATAATGGGGGAATTACACATATAAGAATAACTATAGTTATCCTCCGTTACAGTACAAACATCTGGTATATATAATGAGGAAATTACTAGTTCCTATGAAAATCTTACGGTTTCCCGATTTTCATTTTTTGAAAAATCTTAATTCTTATTATGCTGAATGAAAATCTCCTTGGGAGTTACTCGGTTATAAGAGATCCGTGAAAAGTCCCTTATAGCGTCGTTACATATTTGAACATTGACAAATATCTGCAAAAACCATAAGTAGAATGTTGGTCATTACTAAAAAGAAACAAGCGGGTACAAATGAAATGATTCAAAATTGAATTTTTGTATTTCACTAAAGCAGACGTTAACTAAATTAGCGGAGTTATCACCTAAACGACCGCGTCTTGGGTAGAGACGATAAACTATGTGCGCGTCCTGGGCAAGACAACAAACTACATCCGGCAGCAAGGATTCTGACTAGGAGGTTTTGGGCAGCGTGGAACCACCTCTTAATTAATGGTGTTCAAGGTCCACCTTGACCCGAGGTCGTAGCACCTCTTATGGTCCCAACTATGGAAAAAGTGTTAACCCCCAAACTGGAGTCAAAACACTATGAAAGTGTGAAAATAGGTTTTTAATAACAGCAATAAATTTTTTGAGGAAAAATTATTACCAGCAATACATTATTAACAGCAATACGTTTTTGAAGAAAATAAATGATACCAGCAATGCATTTTTGAGGAAAATATTATCAGCAATACTTGTTTGAAGGAAAAAATATTACCATCAATACCTATTTGTAAATAATTATTACCAGCAATACATTTTTGGAAAAATATTACCAGCAATACATATTTGGAAATATAGTTAAATAACCTATTGAGGTTGATATACCGTAAAACAATCCAAATAAGTTATATCTCTTTAATCTAGATGAGTTTTCAATTTGCCACTATTAGTTTGTAGATTTGCCTTCCAAATGCATTTTGAATTGACATTTTGCAGTTTATAAACTGATGATTTTCTTAAAATTTTGTTGCTCTATTGTTCACCGAATACACAGCCAAAGAGTCACTCAAGAAAGAGGCTAACTGAATAGACAGATATATAGATAGATAAAAAATATTACCAGCAATAAAAATCGTGTCGGCATTAAATAACCCATTGATGTTGATATACAGTAAAACAAAACTAACGAAACTAAACCAGCCATAAAAATCGTATCGGCATTAAATAACCCATTGAGGTTGATATGCCGTAAAACAAAACAAACCAAACCAAACCAAATCAGCAATAAAAATCTTGTCGGCATTAAATAACCCATTGAGGTTGATATACCGTAAAACAAAACTAAGCAAACCAAACCTAGACGACCCTCCTTTAATTCGATTCTTTCTTATTCTGCTTTTTTTTTGCACTAAAACGTTTCAGATATATCATTTACTTCCGTTATTCTTCAGAAACAATACAAAATGGTCCATTATTTATTTTGGAAT